CGGAAGGTAGAAAAGAAGGGACAGAGAATCCGAGACAGACATTCTCGAGTTCCATCCGACCAATCTCGTTCGAGCCAAAGGGAACGAATTCGGGAATCCCGCTCGCGGTGGCGACGACGGCTGGTGGCTCGTGGATGACCGGTGGGCGTTCAAAGGAATGTCTCTAAATAATCCTCCGGAGTTGGAACCCGCCCCGAAAACACTCGCGGTCATAACTTTCACCCCCGCTCCCCTCCAGCTGCTTAGATTTTCGCCCTACGAGAATTCTAGCGCGGCTTAACGGCCGCGGGAATCGTTACTACGCGCGAACGAGATCATGAATGTCGGCTGACTCGATGATATTTATAATGGAAACGCGGCACGCGAAGCGCTTTCTGCTCTTTGAGGGGCGAAAGAACAAACGAATCTTGACACTTTGAAATTGTAATATCGAGGTTTCGAAAGCAGTTTAAAGAATCGGTGGAGCAATTCGATTCTGCACAGCAGTTTGTCAATAGTGAGATTATCGTCGTCATTTCTTATAATTCTCTGAGAAATAAATACTCAGTATTTTTTAGCAATTCAATTTTGCTACCAGAAAATTAAATATCATTATCTCAATCACTCGGCTCTTTCAAATATATAAAAAAGTTTTAAAATTTACAACTATTGTACAACAACTCTCTCGTTTATTACACGCTGACGTTATGTTCGTACGATGCGATACTGATATTTGACAACTATATTCGCCGAGTGAACGATCTTACGGAATCTCCATAAAACATTGTACATATGTTGCAAACCCCAATTTCAACGTTTCACAGCGGGATGCTTGTCAGGCTCTTCCCCATGTGCAATGTCTGGCACGTGACGCCAGAAGAAAACGACTACCGCGGTTGCCGGTCGGGGTTAAGAAGACAATTCGACGGCAAGAAGATTACCCAATGCCGCGCCTTTAAAGAGCCCGCTGGCACCGCTCTCCCCCCCGGTATAATATGTCTTCTCGCGTGGAATACGACTGACGTCGTATTTCGCGTGCTTTACGAGCGCACGTTTCTTTTGACATCGTCGAAACGAGTATATATTCCGTGGTCCAAACGGCCACTTCAATTCGCAACCTCGGGCCTAAACCAAACCCGTAAACCCGTTCGCTCGTTCGTGTATCCGGTCGTCGTTCGGTGAACGATCTCGCAATGCGCCTCAAGATATGCTTATTATCGGCAATGGGGAAACTTTTACCAGAATTAGCAACTCTGTTCGAGAAAAGTAGCATCTGTTTCGCGTTCGATCACAAAGCGTTGAGCGTTCTGTTTTCGGCACTGTTATGCTAAATTCGTTTCGTTTGAATTTGATAGATAGGAAAATAGGGTTATGCCACAAGCGAGAGAAAAATCTAACATTGATCTTTTTCGAGAACATAAATCTTCTTGATTATTGAAAGAAAGACCAAAGCCATCTTTTTGCCAAATTCGATACATAAAAGTTTTTACGCCTCAACGGCGCATGAGAACTGTAGATGGCTAAAATTTCTAGAATTGTGAAATTAATACGTACATTACTGCTTATTGTTCAACAAAATACGGTCTTGTAATAAACGATTTAAGAAAATTAGTTGATGAGATATTTTGTATGTTCAAATGTTGCATAAAGTATTTCTTTCATCATATTTCCTTTGCTATCAAAAACTAATTACTCGCGCGCTCCAATATGATTTTTATTTTCTTATTGTCACATTTAATAAATATAAATAATTTAATGTAATAGTATATTAGCCTTTTTTGCATTAAGAAATTTGCCCTAAGTATTGATAATGCGACTCATTACCGAATGACATAAAGAATGATCGCTGGCATTTTAAAGCTCTTCCAATAACTGGTTCCATAAGTGCGTGCAAATATGCGTGCACACTCAATGATTCTTAGCTCTATAATTACGTGATAAAAGATTATACGCAATTCATTATCGTGACACAACCTTAATTATTATTGTCAACTTAATTGCACCTCGTTAATTGTGCGGAACGGAACATAGCTCTTTCAAATTACATCTTTTATCGAACACCGCTGTATTACGATAGGTATAAATATGAATAAAATATGAATGTAACTATTTATATATTAAACTGTACATATATTAAAAAGTAAATGCAGAGCGCTGATTTCTTATGAAATTTATATGTCGAATTTCAGCAGTCAGTGCTGACAGCTGACCGACTCTCCTTCTAACAACCGGAGTCTTTAATTATTAGAGTCACAGAAGCGTGCAGAAGAGCGCGGAAGTACTTTGCTCTAGAAGACTAGAATAGAACGACGAACACTCGCGAAATGGTCAGGCACTCAGGCAGGTACTTTAATAAATGTGCGCGATGTAAGTATGAGCGATTTAATCTTAATCCCGGTAAGAAAAAGTCGCATTATTCGTAGTCATTAGCGATGGGTTATTCTCGCATGAGAATGTAGTTAATTTGCGGATCATCGACGAAACGTCACCTATCTGCGTTCGCTCGCGAGCCACGCGGATCTTTCAGACTAAAATCGATACTCACTCGTGATAATAGTACTAACAATTTGCACGGCATATGAAGCGACCAATTTAATTACAATAGCAGAAGAAGCAAAAACACATGTCACGACACTATCAGTAGAACAAAAATATTCGTGTTTAATTCGCAACTATAATTGATAAACAAGTCTCTGAAAATATTCAAAGTATTATTTATGTGTGTGTTTCTATACACAAAGAATTTTTAAGTAAATCTCTATATTTTAAGACTTAACGAAAACATGCAAATTAAACCAAATTTCTTAAAGTCGAATTTTATTAATAAAAAAATGATCATTTATCTTAAAAATTGCGGCGTAAAAAAAAGCGTCAATCGTATGCAGAGTATCCTCGTTAAGCCCGTGTAAAAATATTGACTGTAATATTCTCCAATCAGTAGTAGCAGCCTCGAGGGACAGGAAGAGATAGACGATTGAATACGTTTCTTTACTTTCATTCTGCATCTCATTGACCGACCATCGTCGCCACTTTTTTCACTTAACTTATATATCGAACATATGTACCGGCAACGCCTTAGTAAAGACATAACGCACACGCCGTACATTCCACACGATAAAAAATTGTATTGATTATTTCTAAAAGATTACTAAAAATTTATTCAAATAATATCGATTTAACAAAAAACAATACTTAATAATTTCATCGAAATTTTACTTTCTTGCAGATCCTAGAAGATCTGCTTGCCGCTTTGCTATGCTTCTGCTATGACATTTTGACATCCTTCCAAAATCTTACATTCCTGCATACGTGATAGAACGGAAACAAAGTACCGCACAATGCAGTATATGTATTTACATTATTCTTGGCATTTGCACCGCAACTTCCGCTATCATTGAATAGATACAGAACTTGTAACCGTTTTTAACGTAGTCCGTTTCTCAATCCAAAAAAAATTTCAAGTTAAAAATATTAATTAATAAAAAGTTTACATTTGAGATAATTTTCGAGTTATATTTTTAATTTTGTGAAAAATAATTCGAGAATTTAGATTAGCTTCCAAGACCATTGTTCATAATATACCGTTGATCGTCTTGCAATTTTTACAAGCTTGCCACATCGTGTTCTCGTGGATTCTCCGCTTATGGCAATCCACTAGGTCTGAAATATTCCTTAGCCGCTAAATATGGGGTAGAAAACCAGTTGACTTTGAACCCGCGTGAACCGCCCAGCATAGCATTCGAGTGCATCCACATTTACGCACACATTCGTCGCACGTAGACCAGTTCGTTCATGGGACAGAGGAAGAGACTTGTTAGGAAGTTACGTGGTTGGTGCTTTAATCGCGTGTAAAGACGCATTCATCCTAACCAAGAATTGCAATTTCGATTTAAAGCTTATGCTCGCATAAATCGCATCACAGTGGAAAAAGATTAAGCGACATAGTTATATATTGTTGCCTTAGTTTTTGATATTTAACATTTCCTAATTAATTCTCAATTAATTTTCTTAAATATATTCTCGCGACATTGAGAAAAAGACACGTTTGCAGTTCTTCGCTCTCGACTCCTGCATTTAAAACACGCTCAAATGCATCACTAAAGCGACATATCATCAACATATGCAGCGCAGCCGACATATCATCAACATAGGACGAAGCAATCGTCGGAATCGCTCATTTTTCCGCAGTTGAACCGACAAACGGTGTAATTGTCTGTGAAGAATACTTTGCCGCTTCAGTTCATCTGCGAACGAGCTGCGAATAAAACGAATAGCGAAATCACGGTATATCGCAAAGTAGCGTGGTGTGCCGCCAAGCAGCGAAAACTTAATACCTGCCGTGTACCATCGTTGGGCGGTCGGTTCCGCATTATCCTTAATGCTCCGCTAGAAAACAGACTAACGCTTTAACTTGCATAAACCTCGTTTTACGCACGTGTACATCACTCATTGTTGCCTGTACCAAACGGAAACAAAGTACCGAGAGTGTATATCGCGGCGTACGAGTTTAATTAAAGCAATGGTTGGAAAAAAGGCACATAAGAATACAGCTGTGAAGAAAATACATTTGAAATACCTCATTTTACAAAATAACAAAGCTGACGTTATATAATTAATGACAATTGTAAATAAAATTGTAAATATTTTCAAGCATTCTGCAAAATAAAGCTATTAATTTTAAATTAATTATTTTCAGAGCAAGTATTTTATGTATTTATATGCACCATTATTCCAATTGATATTTTTTATAACTGTTAAGATTATTAAAAAATATTTACTTGCGTACTTATGGTACAACTACTAATTTTGATTTTTAGTTAAATCTTAGAATAACATACAATGCTAAAAATAATTGTATAAACCAATAAATTTTTTAAAACCAGATAATAATTATTAAATAAAAAAGTTTAATATAGAATTTCTAAATGATTAGGAATTGCACAATCTCTACTAACACAAATAAAAATGTTCCACACAATAAAACTTGCTATTTCAAGAAAAACTATTTTATTGTGTTTCAGCGCGAGACCACGGAGGATTGCGTCTTCAATGAGACTATAGAGAAACACAATTATAACACGTACAGCTCGGTGCGCTGGTCTACGCCAAACAAGACGCTATACCTCGGTCTGAACCGGTACGGTCAGCCGAAAAAAGTAAAAGCCAAAGGTCACAATCTAGGCAAGCTGTCGGCAAACGTCCAGGTGTTGACGCAGGGAGTTAAGTCTGAACACGTGGAGGCCCTACAGGCGCGGATGATGGGCGCCAAGCACGGCGTGCGTCATCGACATCAAAACCGCAATCGTCATCGGCAACAAAGCGGTGATATGACGTCACTCTGTCCGACTCTGCCGGCCCAGGAAAAGGACGGCAGAGACAAGTTCAGGTGCCGCAAACGAAAAAAGAGGAAGAAGCGGAAGCGACGGTGCAGACCGGGCGAGCGATCTGGTCCTCAATGCCGAGTCGTCGAGGACTTGGCCGCGAGTACCACGACGGAGGCGACGGACGTCGACGCGTTTCCGGAGATCACGAGCGCCAGCAGTACCACGCCGGAATCCAAGAGATCCTGCGAGGGGGCTGCCAGCGAGGAGGCCTGCAGACGTCAGGCCCTCTCGGTGCAGGCGAACAAGCGGAAGTCGCGGATAGACGACGACGGCGGCGACAGGAATCTCACGATCAACGGTAAGAACAAAGCATCAACGTCAAACGCGAAAAAGCCAAACGTCAGCGTCGCCGATAGTCAAAGTAAAAAGCCTGATTTGACGGACGGGAAGAAGAAGAAGAGGAAGGGTCCGCCGCAAGCGAGCAGGGGGAGCGCCGCGATGGTCCCGCCGTCCCGGAAGCGATACGGGCCTGGCATGACGACGTCGCCTCGGGGAGCCTCTTTGCCGCTAACGGCGCCCGCCAGCGAGGCCTCGACAACCACGTCGTCCTTCTCGCCCTCTCCTCCTGGTGCGTCAACCGCTCTCTCTTCCGAGAGAAGGCCGGGCTCGCCGTCGTCTGGTCGTAAGAAACCACCGCCGTCCTCGAGGAATAACGTTGCGAGACCGGCGGGCTCGCTTAGGGTAGGAAAGTCTTTCCCGGGTAGCGCGGATTCGCGGAGTCGATCGCAATCGACACCGGCGATGTCGATAAACGTCCCGAGGAACGAGATAGCGCACCCACTGTCAACTACCAAAGTTCCTGAAATCACGCCTTTTTTCCTTCAACCTTCGTCAGTTTCCCCCTCCTCGTCCTTGCCCTGGCAGGAATCCGCGGAAGATTACTCGAGCTCGCTGTCAGACTACTCGCTTGTCGATGAGTCGTCGTCCTCGACCGCGACGAGCGAGTTCACGGCGGAAATAGTAGAGTTCGACGCATCGACAGCCTCCAGCGAGGTTATCGCCGAGGTGACGTCGTTCAAGCTGGACGAAGAGGACGGTGGCTCCGGTATGGCCGACACGATCCCGCGGACGACTACGAGGTTTCCTTTGGAGAGACTGGTCATGTGACGCATCCCTCGGAAGGCCGAAGGATGATTTGTGCGCAAATGTCATTGTAAACTTACGTGTACATAAGAATCATTCTACGTTACGACTTAACATTCATATACGACGAACGCGCGGCGCACAATCTATATCGTGCTGAGATTTCGATACTCGCGATATAAAGAGCTGATATTGTTGTAATATCGGTAAGAGATCGATTCGTTCAATGATTTTCAAATATTATATATGGTTTAAAATAGTTATAGCGTGCAGTCAAATTATAAACAATTCTTTTCTGATAATTTTGAAATTTTCTAAAATATTTAAAAAAATTTTCTTATAAAGCATAGATTAGAAAATTATTGAATAAATTGATTTATCATTGATATTATAATAACCGGCCTTTTATGTCGCGAATATACAATATTGTTTATATCATGCTATTAATAGATATCAAAGACTTTGGCATGTAAAACGTTTTATGAAACGCAGAACATCTTGATATCACTAGAACTAAAGATCCATAACGATAGTAAATTGCGTTCACCGAAATCGTTCACCGATATCGGTCCCCGAGGCATTCACGGCGAAAGAGACGCGGTTCGTGTCGAAAAACGGTGGACATTGGCAAGAGGGAAGAGCTTTCGATCGCGCAGACTTATTCGAGCAGACAAAAGCGTGCCGCGTGTTTCTTACGCTCGTTATCCGAAAAGAGGTAATTACCGGTAGCAACAAAATGAGTGTATCAAGCGGCGTAGCCGAGTAATGAGCACGAAATACGACTTTAATCTCGAAGTACTTCCCTCCCAGCGCAAAACAAGTCGCGGGACTTGTACACGAGCGTGGTGAATGAGTTAATTGCATATCTCAGCTAATTCTGTAAATTTAAAATATTTTTCTTAATACACCGCGCAGATAGTCTTTTTCGATATGGTTATACGAAAAAAATATCTTTAAAGCAATTAACTGATATTTTAGGATCATGGAGTTAAAAAAAAAAATCACTCTTCGTACAACTGCTTTAAAGATATTTTTTTCTATAACTATTTTGAAAACAACTATATATGATGTATGTATTTAAAAAATATTTCAAGTTTATGTTATATCAATTTTAAAGTGGAGAATAGCTTATAATACAATATATCTAAATCTTTTTCAACATCAATAATATATCTTCAAAAGTTACAGTTCAACAATCACAGTGTATTTCCAGCATGATGATCTAGGTACGTATTCTCATGACAGATTTAACGATAAATGTGGCTATCTGGTCCTCTCTATAATTATATTAGGTATGGTTTTGATATTAATTTTAAATTATTAAAAAAAAAAACTAATAAAATCAAATAAATAGTATATTCAAAAGAGCGAGCATAAGAAATTTAAGAATAAAAAGCGCATATTAATATTTTTGCGCAAGTTAGAATAATATCTACAGATTATAGTATTAAATTACCGAATTAAGACATTACTCTCAATTATTTGATAAAAATAACCATTAAATAAAATTATTACTATTTTTCTCCTTATATTGACACGAACCGCTCTCATCTTGCCACATATCATACGCATGACGTAGAAAACTCCTTGTATATTACTGACGAACTTCGTCCTAATTAGCGCAATTAGCGCATAAGCCTAAAGAATTAATGATAGTATTTTAGCGAGCGAGGAGCGCAAGACAATAAGCGACGTGAAAAGAGAAAGCAATTAAACAATACAATCATTTCGATCGATGTGCGAAATGCGAGTATTCTTCAGGCGATAGCAAAAATTGATCTAATTAAAGACATAAGCTCTGATAAAAAATAGCAATCTCATGACAAAACTACGCTTCTCGTACTTTATCAAAATTATATAATTATATGCTAATTTGCCTACGTAATTTTTTAATGGTATGAATTGTAAAGATATATGGCCACAAATTGCTCTCAAAATATCTTTTATATACTACAAATTATATTTATATATATGTGTAGAATATAACAAAAGATGTTTTACAGCAATCCGTAGCTATTTATGTTTAAATGCTTGAGAAAGTTTCTGCAAGCAATTAGTCGTGTTGCAAATTTTTTTAATGATTTTACAATAAAATGCGATACGAACGACATACATATATGTATGTATATATAATTCAGAAGGAGGAACAAATTTATTTCATACAATCTCAGTATTTACAACGAAATGAACTGGTTTTATTGATTATCGGCGAATGATCGTTCAGAGCATTTAAGGGAAAATTATCGCGTCTTCTTGTTTCTCGAATTAAAAGTTTCATCGAATCTAGATAGGCATATCTGTGAGAAAAGCCCTAACCTCGCCGCAATTTTCTTTTCTTCTTTTTCGTATATAAGTGATTTATTAATAAAGTAGTATATTTATTAAAGACTTATTTATTGTAAACAGTTCACTCCGTGTACATAAGTCTACGATCAATATTCATCATGTGCATCGATCATATGTTATACGTTATCTGTCCTGTTGACATACGAATCCATTGAAAATACCTAATAATGTGTCGCTCAAACAAATATTTCGGTGATGAAACAACGATGAAATAAATATACCACAAATAAAAATGTAGATTCCGCGTTCTCACAACAAAATTGAAATTAAAAAGATATAGCAAAAGGAAAGAGAGAAAAAGAGCGGTGTAAAACTTTCGTTAAATGAAATATAACATTGCAAGTGAATACTTTTATATTAGTCAGTAATATTAAAGTGTTCCAAAGCCATTTCGCAAAGAAAGTTGTTTCATGCACACGGCAGAGCTCATTATGTCATACATTTGATAATAGTTACTGACAAAGTGAGCTACTGCTTCCGCCGGAACTGAAATTGGACCGCTCTCACATAGCAGTGTTCTCCGCTTAATCTAGCATACTGTATATATACAGGATGTATAATGATAAGCGTAGACTATTTTTCTCGTCTATATGATAAATGCATCTGTAATTTTTTTGCGTTATTATAAAAATTATTTATTTGTTTTTCTAACTATTAATGCGCATTATTATGATAAATATTTCACAATAATACAGTAAAAATTGTTTACTTCGATAAACATTTTTCAGAGAATATAAAAATTTATTAGATTTAATATAAATCAGTATAAATTTTTCAAAGTTTGTGAAATACAACGCGAAAAAGCAATCTTCATTGAAATAATTGGTGATACAAAATTGTTATACCTTGTATAATAACGGTAACTCGATACTTCTACAATTAAATTATATGGAAACATACTTCCGTAACGCATATATGTTTTCTACATTTACATTATACTTTATAAATTTTTATAAGAAAACATTTTTCTCATCGTTGTCTCACTAATTTGATGCGCAATCCTTGATATTTTCAACGGATTCTAAATTGTTTCGATTCAAGCAAACAGGCATGCTCTGGCGAATAAAGCGATTCCACAGGATTAAGAGTAAAAGACAACTTATGAAAGTCAATATTCGCAGGTACGATAAGGTAAAAAAAGGTAACAAATGGAATTGTAAAATTTGGAAAGGTGTCCGCAAATGCGAGTGTGATGCATATCGGAATGATGAATGATTAATTATTATAATAATTAGCGACATGAAGAGAACATTTTAATTTTTAGAAAAATTTAAGTAAAAGTTTGATGAAATTTTTAAAAGATCGTATCGTAGAAACATTGACGTAATAAGTTATTAATAGCAAAATGATACGCAAGCACGACCGCATTGTCGACGCAATTCCAGATTGGAAGATCGAAACGAAACCAGTCTAGCACTGCCATCTTGAGATGTATTTAATTTTCATAGACTGAACTATTAAGATTATATATATAGACCAATATTTAATTATTAAAATGACAAGCTGCGTTGATTGAAATTTCATCTGCAGATACTTCACACGAGATAGCTAAGATATACGTCCGCAGGACGACTTGTCCTCTCTAACCAAAATACTGCTATTTTCGATGCCACTATGTGATATAATTTTCAGAATCCACAACCCCTCTCCTCTTCTATCTCACTCTTGGAAGATATCATCGTCTTCGGGAAAGAGAATAAGGAGGGGGAGAGAAGGAACAGGAGCGATAATGGAAATGAATCAATAAATCAATAAAACAAATTTTCAATGAACCCGATCGATCTCAATCTTAACTTATTCTCTGCGGTTTATTTTAATATCAATTATCAATTATTTTTATATCAATTATTGAAATTATATAACTATATGGATTATAATGACATCAAAAATTATCAATTGGTCGATCTCACTTTTCTCTTACTTCTCTCTCACTTCTTAGATGCAAAATCCCACCCCATATCGTCGCTATATAATTTTTAGAAATAATAAAAGAAATATTATTGGATATAATGCTGCGTTTTGTTATTAGATCTTAATATATACCTCATCGTGGATTATTATTATATTTCTAAATATAAAATAATTCTTCCCTCTTTATATATATATATATATGTTTATTAATTAATAATAATAATATATATATATATATATATATATATATATATATATATATATTTGTTTTATTATAAATAAACATTACATATATATTAGCACTTTGCACAATAAGATAAAAAATATAACAGTTTATTAACTAATTAAGCCATTAAATTAATATTTTCTTCTATTTCTTGTCATATTCGTGATTTATTGTGATTTAGTTAATTCTCAATCATTTAAGTTATATATTTATGTTATAAATTATCAGAAATCATCAATTGCAATTGCTAATATCTACACTAAAAATTTCCAAATGCTGTATAATACTTGCAATTGTTCAATTTTTAATTTTACAAAATATGGCACTGTACGGCAAAAAAACTAAAAACTTCCTCTTCAGCCAACATATTTTAATCAGAAGATATCACAGATGAATATAACTACTGTAAAACCGGCGAAAAGAAATGTTAAAATAGCCGCTAAAGACAGGTAAGTGCATAAAATGTAGAAGACTTGTTATAAATTTATCAATTCAAATTCTGTCCAATGTTAAATGGCATACACAATTATAAAATCTCTCGCAAGAAAATTTTCGTAAATCAGAGAAGATATTGCGCACGGTATAAATTGTTTGTATAATGATTCCAAATATGTACATCCCGATTTTCATAATTTTGCATTGCAGATAAGTATGTATAGTACCAGAATAATCAATTTCGTTTTTACATATTTCTAATATTTTCGTTATTGACAAATTATTTATTACTCACGCCATTTAACGTAAATAAGCGGCTTATCGGCGTCTTTG